ACTGCAACATTTTTGATACTTAAAATCCTAATTTATGACATTATCATGCTAAACTACCTAGAAGAACTGGTAACTGAAAGACCAATTTCCCTTGCTATCTTTCTAAGACCCGGTGGCCTAGAAATCTGTTGGCAGTTTTGACAGGTTGGCAGAAGAAATGTACCTTTGATATAACATCTGGCAAAGACAATGGTCTGAAAAAAAATCTCAGTAGATCAACTGGATAATCCAAATGGCATGGTTTGCACTGGTAAAATGTGAAAAATACTACTTTAAAAATGGAACAGGTAAATATGAGTGCAGACTCTTTTGTGGTAGGTTGGGGGTAATATCAAACATGTATGTCTTCCTGAAATGATTAAGAAGACATCTTTCTCCCATGCCATGTGGAATAACTCTAGATACGATTCTACTATCTAGAGTCAATCTCAGATAAATGTTTAGACCTTCGCTAGACCTTATGGACTAGGCAGAGCTTTCAAGCCCACCCATCCCCTTACTTTGGTGCCCTGAGATATTTCCCTTATCCAATGAGAAATATACTTGGGTTCTTGGCTACAGTAGGTAACTCAAAATTATACCAGAGCAAGATACTTACTACTTTTCAAAGATTGTTTCATGAAATACATCAATATTTGGGGGAATTCAAATATATTCCATTGTTTATTTATTTTATGAGATTATAACAAAACAGTGGGTTCTTGGTGCTCTCTGTGCTTGGTTCTTTTCTTGCAGACATCTCACCACCCAAATGAGGTAATATCATCAGTGCTAGTAGGGAGTGAGGTTTGCTTTCTATTTATATTTTAGTGGCTTGCCCTGGCTCCTATTAGTGGGAGTAGTCTTGGTTGGGCTGTTTGCTGTTAGCTTGTTTGGCAGTTCCTTGGTTGGTGTATTATTTAATTCTTGGTGTTAATCTATGATCATCTGGATTGCTGGTGAGGAAATGTTTTGGTCTTCCTGTTCCCTTTTTAGCTTGTTGATTGTCTCTTTTGCACAGTAGGTAGATGTTATTTATGTGTCTATTGATGGTTGATTTGTCCAAGTGCCAGACTTCCAGGAATTCTCTAGCATTTTTTGACTTGGCTTGGTCTAGAATGGTCACAGTTTCACAGTTGGAACTATGGTTAAATCGGTCTAATATATTGTGAAATTAATGAGTTTTCATCATGTCTTCTTCTAGTTCATCTAACTCATTTTCAGGGTAGATACAAAACTGTACCCATTATGAGTTCTGCAAGTATAACTTAATGCCCCATATTTTAAACTAAGTCTGGAAAATGTCTGTCTAGGGATTATAATATGTATTCAAACTTTCTTTTCAAAGGTGGAGAGATGGGTTCATTCCCAAAAGGCAGATATCCAGTTTTGGAGATCCTATACATCATATAGTATGAAGTCCACGCCTCGTATTATTCTCACTTATCAGAAATGAAACATGCTGGTAAAGTATCCACAAAGAGTCTCGGTGGCGCAGTGGTTAGAGTGCAGTACTGCAGGCTACTTCTGCTGACTGCCAGCTGCCTGCAATTTGGCAGTTCAAATCCCACCAGGCTCAAGATTGACTCAGCCTTCCAGCCTTCCGAGGTGGGTAAAATGAGGACCCAGATGATTGGGGGCAATATGCTGACACTGGAAATCGCTTAGAGAGGGCTGTAAAGCACTGTAAAGTGGTATATAAGTCTAAGTGCTATTGCTATTGCTAATATATTTAATCTATAGCCATATCTGAAAAACAATAGATTTTCATTACCCTTGATGCAGATACCCTTGATTAATTCCATCTTATTAAAGAAAGGCATTTGCTTTAAAAACAAACCAAAATAACTTAAAAATACCACAGCTTTTTGACTTCTGCTTGGTACAAATTAGGTTTGAGAGAGGGTTTTTTTTTCTTCCTACCTTGAGATCTTGTTCAACGTGGCTGCTATTTTTTTTTTTAAATGTACAAGTGCCAGTATGGCTATGGCCTGTTGAATTGTTTATATACAGAGAAAAATCCTGGGGGTTGTGGAATGCATGCAAAGAAAATTTGCAAAGTAGCAAACAACTTCTCATTTGATTTTCAGTGGTGAATATTCTTTTATTTATGTCCAAATTATGTGAGCCTTTGAAGTTCCGCCATAATGTCTTTAAAGCACTTTTTGCTCTGTTTCTAAGAGTTCCTCTCTCTCTCTCTCTCTCCCTCCCTCCCCCCCCCTCTCTCTTATATTCTTTGGAAAGTCCACCTGTTGCTAGCTAAGCAAAGGATATAGCTAAAAATGCAACCTCTATTCAAAGGTATGTCTCTGGAAAAGTTTGTTGACTTGGCAGTCTTTCACTGGAGTAGAGTGAAATCTCTGCAGCTGGACTGATTCCAAAATAGTTCATCAATCAATAAAGTTTTCAAGAAAGTTTTATTTTGCCATAACGTTTGCTAAAAAGTTAGGCCTGTGCTGGCAAGAGATCAAAACCTAAACTGTTTGAGGCATGTAGTGACTTCATCAGAGTATACAATATGGACTGAATTAAATCTGAAAAAAAATATATATAACAGGGCTCTGTATTTTTGTTAAATGCATATTCCATCTGATGTATCTTGGTGTTCAATATGTGCCATTTTATTTCCAAATTGAAATATTTATATGCACCATGGTTGAATATACATGTGTATACCTCATGTACAATTTCAACATCTATACCTATAAAATTTGCAAAGTAATACCCTTTGTAATATGCCAGGAAGAATATTTAAGCAAATTGCAATGGACAATTATAAAAATGACATTGCAAAAATCCTATTTTGTGGAAAATCTATTAAAGCATTGAAAAATAGAATAAAAACAGCCATTATAGTATCATTTTTTCTTTGCATAAATATGAAGTCATGGCATATGGTCTGCTCAGCAACACCTTTTAATAATAAACTTTAACTAATTAAGCATTGATTTGTTCTTCTATATAAGTGAAACAAATTGCTGTAACTGCTCTCAGTGAAGCCTAACCACATAGATTATGTATAGGAAGTTCAAGGTAAAAAAAAAATTAGTATGTATTTCAGCATAGGTAAAGTTTATGGTGGATACAATTTGAAACTTCAAAAAATGTGTCATGTATTGTGTTTGATAGAAAATCAGCTATTAATCTCAGGGAAAGTCTGAATGGTATGGTGGCCTAGTGGTGAAGACTCTCACCTCCCACGCAGAGGGTTGAGAGTTAAATCCTAGGTAGCGGCAGATGTTTCTCAATCAGGGTGCAAAAAGAAAATATTTGCTGTGAACTCCATGTAGTTGTCAGGAAGGGTATGTGGCCAGTAAATGCTCAACTTTATTTAGTGGACCCCAAAGCAAGGGATTACAGGGTCATAAAAAGAAGAAAAAATCTCAGGGAAAGTCTAAAGCCCAAACAAGCCATTCCCTTGCTTTCGTATTACAGATTATAGCTGTAAATATATTTTAAAACTGATCTCTCTTTGTAAGAACAGTAATCACTTTTAAATTTGTTTATTTTATTTATGGATAGAGAGTAGCTATATTCCTCCTTCCCTTACAAAAAAAAATCCTTTCAGATTGGTCATTAATTTTCCTGATGATTATTAACTGTTGAGTCTCCAATGTGTCTCATTTACAAAATAGGGGAATCCCTAAATCACATGTATCCTTTAAATTTAAAATGCATTATTATTTTAATTTTTGATCTTTATTTGATCAGATAGATAACTGTGATATAGGCTGTATTACAATTTCTGAACAGGCTTCTGTTATATTATCAATGGTTTTAAAGACAAAAAACTATTGTTTCAAAATAGTACTTAATTACCCCTTTAAAAGATTCACATCTTATATAGCAAATGAAATAGGAGTTTGAACATTTGTTGATCTAGAGATATTTTTTTCCAACTCAGCAACTGTACAGGATGCTTTTAAAGCATGGATTATTGCTTATGATTTATGGAAAAAGAAGGAGCATGTATAATTGAAAACATTAGAAAATAAGATTATGCACAGCTTCATTCAGATTATATTGTAAATTGCCAGATGTCAGTGGAGAAGGGCATTATAAAAACATAACAAATAAATAAACTAATGCTTTTATGTTTTCTAAAATGTAGCATGATCTTCATTATACAGTGATGCTAAATACCTCCTGAATGGTATAAAACAATATTCCTGGTAATAAATGAGAATATCTAATAAATATTTGACTTCTAAACTGAAAATAACCTCATTTATACAATTAAGGATTTTTGGTGCAAATTATATAATGATTCAGATTTGGTACATCAGCACTTCTTCATTTTTCATTTTACTTTATAATGCCAATTAACAGTTTTGGATGTATGGTTTTTAAATGGTTTTCTCAATCAATGAGATAAAACTCAAAATAAGACTATTTAGCTATGTTATTGCCTCTGCAAGAAATAATGGACGTATTAAATCAGTGATATTAGGTAAGGTCCTAAGTCCAGACAGCTTTCCTATATATTGGTATAAAGTATTCATTTGCTTTCTTGCTCTCATACTATTTTAAGGTTTATACTGGCACTTTTATGTAAAAACCTTTTCCTTCCTTTTAATTCTGAAAGTGGAAAAAGATCCTACAGAATGTGTAAGTTAAATCTATGTTAAATTTATATACTATATTTTTAACACATCCTTGGCTCAAAGACTTAGAACTATCATCAACAGTTCACTACACAATCTGGTTTAATTAAAAAAATACAAACCTGGATGATCATAAATTATTACTAAATGTACTTGATATACAACATATACATTGGATTTAATGATGGTTGTAACACGGATATGGAGAAAGACTTTGATGTGGCACAACTTACATTTTAATAGTATGTCTTGGATAAATATGCTTTTTATTCCAACAACAATATTCTTCTTAACAACAAGATAAATATGTGATATCCTATCCTATTAGTCAGAATGATCAGAAATGGAATTATTTCTACACCAATCCAGATGTTTTGCATTTATTTTGATTTGTAACCATTGCCTTCTTTTTATTAGACAATAGAAGAATATGTTGGACCTTAAGGGACTGAAGTGAAACACAAATGTATGTCAATATTTTATGTTTGTTCATAATTGTCTGTGTCCTTTAACAAAACATAAGGATACAGTACATTTTGCTAAATTATCAGGGTATTCAATTAATTGGTATAGTTTTTAAAAGTGTATTGTTTGGATTCCTTTCTCTTGGAATAATTATAGTAAATATTTGGAATAATATTCCTTTCTCTTGGAATAATTATAGTAAATATAGTAAATATTTGGCATCAAGTTTTTTGTTGGCAAAGGTTAAATATTGCAAATTGTTTGTTTCAGATTAATAATGATAGAAATATATGTTAAAAATCTCTATGAGTTATGGGAGACAATAAATGTTAAAATGAATATTACTTCAAGACTGACAAAAGTTTCAATATGTTTGTTTTATAAACAAACATGTTGTAGCTGATTGGCAGGATTTTGAGAACATTTTTATGGAATGGTCAGAATTCTAGGCTTTCTTTATCTAAATAATGAATTTCATATAAGAATGTTCAGGTTTCTTGATTTTCAATTCTGTTAGTTGGTTTATATTTTGACTTTCTGAAATTTAGGTGATTTAGCTCAGAAAACCATTATGGACGGAGTTAGAAAATTATCATCTGACTACTTGCTATCTTGGCAGTCTTAGCTCCTGTTTTAGTTATAGGCCAGTTATTTCTATTTCTCAAAATATATGACTAAAATTGGGAAAGCAAATTCAATCCAATACTTTGAGATTATGGATTGATCCAAGTCTGAAAATTGCTGGCAAATTTTTCTTCTGGAATTCTTTGGGCAAATAATTGGACTAATAATTCCACTAATTATTCTCTTAAAAATTAGATGTGCAAAAACAATTTTATTTGTCTGAAGATATTGATTAGCAATATACTCAGTGAAAAGATCTTTTATTGTGAGCCCAATGCATTAGTACCATCAAAAATCTTAAATTATTAACATTATTGGAGAAATTTTTGGACTTTCCAAATTTACAGTTAATTTTTATATACAATTGAAAAGGATAGAAAGAAATGCTTGCAAGACACTAAGAAATTGAATGCCCTGTTTTAATAAATGAATGGATTAAAATTTTAAAGTAAACTGCATCCTATGATTGTAAGAAGTGATCAAGTCAACCAAAGATTTTTTTTTTTGTAGGGTTTAATGGGCATCTCTGAGACTACATAAAAAGGATTGTGTTTCTACTTCTGAATGCTGGAAGCATTATATTATGAAGGAGATTTTGATTTATATCCATAAAGTTTTCAACTTTATGTTGAGAAAGGAAATGAGAGCTGAAGTTGTGAAAGTGTTATTAAAAAGTAATTTTGAATGTTTGAAGTCTGAAGACCTCAGGATTTATCTTGTGTTTTTTTCCCCTTCCATTCCATGGTGTCTGATTCTCAGAGACTACTTGGACAAGTCCTGGAGTTCTCTTGACAAGATTTTTCAAAAGTGGTTTACAATTGCCTCCTTCCCAAGAGAGAAAGTGACAAGCCCAAGGTCACCCAGCTTCTAACTTAATGTGTGACTAGAAGTCATCATTTCCCAGTTTCTAGTCCTTAACTACTACACTAAACTGGCTCTCTTATCATGACTGGTTAATAGCTAAAATGTTCATTTCACTCTGATGGAAAAACCCTGCTACATTTGATTTGAAATCCTGAATAAAGGCACATGAAGACTAACAGTGTTATTCAGAGTGCATAAAGGGAATAAGAATCAGAGACAATGAAAGTGTGGAAAAAGAAAAAGAAATAACTAAAACTGTTTACACCCACTGACTTCCCTTCCTTGCTAGCCTGCAAACCAACCTTACTTTCAATTTGGCTATGCATTTATCCACTTTCTTTTGTACTCCATTGTTCATTTTTAAAAGTACAGGTGGGCCTCAACTTAGAAATAGAATAACAGAGTTGGAAGGGATCTTGGAGGTCTTCTAGTCCAACCCCCTGGTTAGGCAGGAAACCTTACACCACTTCAGACAAATGGTTATCCAATATCTTCTTAAAAACTTCCAGTGTTGGAGCATTTTCAACTTCTGGAGGCAAGTTGTTCCACTGATTAATTGTTCTAACTGTCAGGAAATTTCTCCTTAGTTCTAAGTTGCTTCTCTCTTTGATTAGTTTCCACCCATTGCTTCTTGTCCTACCCTCAGGTGCTTTGGAGAATAGCTTGACTCCCTCTTCTTTTTTGTGGCAGCCCCTGAGATATTGGAACACTGCTATCATGTCTCCCCTAGTCCTTCTTTTCATTAAACTAGACATACCCAGTTTCTGCAACCGTTCTTCATATGTTTTAGCCTCCAGTCCCCTAATCATCTTCGTTGCTCTTCTCTGCACTCTTTCTAGAGTCTCAACATAGAGACTCATTTTTCACATCGTTGTGACCAAAACTGAATGCCGTATTCCAAATGTGGCCTTATCAAGCCATTATAAAGTGGTATTAACACTTCACGTGATCTTGATTCTATCCCTCTGTTTATGCAACCTAGAACTGTGTTGGCTTTTTTGGCAGATGCTGCACACTGCTGGCTCATATTTAAATGGTTGTCCACTAGGACTCCAAGATCCCTCTCACAGTTACTACTATTGAGTGAGGTACCACATATACTGTACCTGTGCATTTTGTTTTTCTTGCCTAAATGTAGAACTTTACTTTTTTCACCATTGAATTTCATTTTGTTAGATAGCGCCCAATGTTCAAGTCTGTCAAAATCCTTCTGTATCTTAAGACTATCTTACAACAGTTCATTTAGTGACCAAAGTTACAATGACACTAAAAACAAGTGACTTATGACCATTTTTCACACTTACAACCATTGCAGCATCCCCATGATCACGTGATTAAAATTGGCAACTGACTCATATTTACGATGATTGCAGTGTCCCAGGTCATGTAATCCCCTTTTTGCGACCTTCTGACAAGCAAAGACAATGGAGAAGCCAGATTCACTTAACAACCATGTCACTAACTCAACAAATGCACTGATTCACTTAACAATTGTGGCAAGAAAGGTCGTAAAATGAGGCAAAATGCTCTTAACAAATGTCTCACTTAGCAACAGAAATTTTGGCCTCTATTGTGGTTGTACGTTGAGGACTACCTGTAGTGATTATGTCAAGGAGAATGAAACACCTACATAATTTTTCTGGATGATTGCTGGTCCCCTTTATCTGATTTCATTTCAAACATTTTCACAAACATTAGCTGTCTTGTCTCACTTTTTTAAAAAAAATATGCATATGTGGGGGAAATAAATTTTATCTTTGGATTGCAAAAATATGGAGGCCCACTAGATGGCAGTAAAGAATTGCCCCATCTAGTGGTTTTCTAGATTTTTGCAGTTTAGATGTGGTAGCCCTACTTTAAAACTGTAAAACTTTAATAATAATAAAAGTTGCAATTGCCTGGGGATATTCATGTGAAGCCTAGCTGGATCTGGAAGCTGAATTGCAACAGCTGCTGAGTGAATATTTGGTGCTGCTCCTTCACTCACAGTAATTATTTCTGTTTGGTCACCAAGTAGGGAAGCATTTGCTGACTCCCTCTGATGGCAATTATTCCAAATCTGCATGCTTAAATCAGAACTTAACGATCCCCAAGAACTTCTTCCCAATGTCATTAAGCAATTAAATATTTTATTAAATAACTCTTCTATATATGTATGCTGCAAGATATGGTTGAAGGAGTCTTTAGTGACAGCCATTAGTATTCATACAGAATCTATAAACACTAGAAACTGCAGTGGCTCACGCTGTCTTAATCTTTTCTTTTCAAGATGAGCTGCGGTTGGATGTTGGGAGAAGGTTGCGTGCACACCTTTGCCTGCCATATGGAACCTGGCCCCTCCTAGGATTTCACACACTGAGCACCTGCCTGTAATTTGCAGTGTGACAGATGCTCATTAAACCCAAACAACAAACTATGCAGAAACAATTCTGATCTGACTTATATTATTTTACTGTGCGAATGTATACATATGCACACATGCAGAATAAACCCTTTTCCCAAATAAGGAGGAAATGCTACCAGGAGTATGGGAGAAAGGCATTCATGACTCAGTAAAAAAAAATACCTAGCTTTGGTTACATATGTCCCAGTAAGGCTTAAAAACAACAAAAGAAAAACAACATCTATTTGGAGTTGTCTCTGAAGATAATCAAGAGCCCAACATGTTCTAATCACAGGCAAAGAATAGGTAGAGCAGGGCTGTCAAACTTGCGGGCTGCGGGCTGGATGTGTCATACACTGGCCACACCCACGCCCCATTTAGTGAAGGGGAAAAAAGTCCTGATATGTCACATGACGCTGCCGTGACGCCACAAGTTTGACACCCCTGAGGTAGAGGAACTGTATTCAGCTTGATAAAATAATAGCTTCATTCTTCCCCTCCAGTTCACAACTATCTAGTATTGATTGATTGGTTGATTGTGTGCAATCAAGTAGTTGCCATCTCTTAGTGACCACATAGATCAATGTACTCCCTGATGATTTGTCCCCAACCTTCAGATCTTCCAATGGTCCACCCATCACCACTGTAACTAAATCCATCCACACACCTTTTGTCATTCCTTCCACCTCCCCCCCTCAAAAAAAAAGTGAACAGGTTAGGAAAGGATGTTGAAATCAGCATGACATGTTTTTGTCCATTTTATTAAATCTGATAATCTAACCCAATCTTTCTTAACTGAGATGGGAAAAATATTTTTGCTTTGTTGCTTCTAAATTTATTTTAAAACATTTAAAATAATAAAATAAATGACTTCATAAAAAAAAAAGTAAATGAGAAACTATATAATAGATTGGGAATAAAACATTGTAAACAGAATTTATAACTGTTGTAAAATTTAAAGTTAATTATTTATTGATAACTAAATATGTAAAACTAAATATATGTTGAGAAATAATTGCAAATCATTGCAAAACTGAGTGTTCATGTTTATATTGCTATCATCACTATTTGTCATTCTTTAAAATAAATGAAAAAGAAAAAAAGCTAATAAAAATTAAAAATAATGATACTAAACTAAATTGAATCAGTAAAAATACCTTCCCATTTGTGTTTTTTTGATGTAAACACAAGGTACTCACCTTGTGTTTACATCACATTATTTATAATAATTAATATTAAAATTGCTTCTGGTCACTATTTTTACATCAAATATTTCCTCCTTAAAAACTATACTCTAAAGTGACTGTGTTTGCCATGTTGTGTGAAATGTAATTTATAGAAAAGTCATTTTTGTTTAAGTCTAGTCAAACTTCCCTTTTGGATATATACTGTTAATAGCAACAGCAATAACATTTATATTTATATACTGCTTCATAATGCTTTACAGCCCCTCTAAATGGTTTACAGAGTCAGCATATTGCCCCCAACAATCTGGGTCCTCATTTTACTGATCTCAGAAGGATGGAAGGATGGATCAAGCTCGATCGAACTCCTGGTTTGTGCAGTTAGCCTGCAATACTACATTCTAACCACTATGCCACCAGGATGCCTTAATTTTCCTATTGTTCAATTTTCCTGTTGCTGAATATTTCCTAAATTTGGTTTCCCAACCTGATATTGTCAGCAAAGTATTTCTTTTCTAATGTTGGTCCAGATTTGTCATCACCTCTTTTATCTTATATTCTAACAGATTTTATTTTGATCTATTCTATTTATTAATTTTGGAAAGATAGTAATAGGAAAAATTGAGGTTTCAATTCAAGCTTCATTTTTAAGTGTTATTGAATAATGCTATTTTTCCCAGCATTTTAATATTTTTCTGTGAACATCACATATGATAAAATGTTCCTTCTATATCATCACATTTCTAATATTTATGGTTATTTATGATTTATATAGTTTTATAATTCTCTGCTAACAATAAGGATGCAGTATCAGCCAGTTTTGGTACATTTTGGCCAGTATGCCACAAACACACAATATTCTGTAGGCTCTCTAATGCAGATACTGCATTTCAAACAAGTGTATTGTTTTCTGCATTCCATCAGCTAGGAGTGGAGTGTACTGATATACCGTAAAAGTACTAATATTTATAAGCAATAGTATAATAGTAGTTTAATTAATACATTAATGAATAATAAATATATATGTTACAATAATGTGACTTGCTGATTTGTTAGTTCCCTGCCTGTGTAGATAATTGTCACATTTTTATTTTTTGTCAAAATTAAATTTAATCTAACCAAGAAGATCAATCCACTAACCTTTCCCAGCCTATCAATATTTACAATCACTAAATTGTGATTTTTCCTTAATGTTGTTTAACAATGATTTCAAAAATATAAAATACCTCTGGCAGGAAAGTACAGAATCATTGGGAATTTTCTCATGTTAGATCAGGGGTGTCAAACTCACAGCCCACGGGCCGGATGCGTCAAGCGCTGGCCACCCCCACCCCCGGTTTAAGCGAAGGGAAAAAAGTTGTGATATGTCATGTGACAATGACGTGACGATGCACCTTTGACACCCCTGTATTAGATCATTGGTTTTGTTCTGTTGCCTTTGTATATATTGGTATAAAAAAATTGCTT